GAAATAAAAAACTTGCTGTGCTGTACTGTGCTGTGCTGTACTGTGCTGTGCTGTACTGTGCTGTGCTGGACTGAGGTGTGGTGTAGTGTGGTGTGGTGCACATGGTGTAAGTACTTACTGTGGCATATACGCGTTAGTACTGTGGTATGGTGTGATGCATATTGTGTAGGGTGGGCTGGCGTGTGGCGTTGTATGGTGGGAAGTGGTGTGGTGTGGTGTGGTGTATGTTAATTTTGTAGTGTGTGGTTTTAGTGGTATTGTATATGTTATGTGTTGCACTTGGTGGAATGGGTGTGGTTTGCAAACATCTAGTTGCATTTTACTGATCATGCTACAGCTAGTTACAGAACAACCCATGCATCGTTGCTTTTGTTATCAATTCTTCCAGACATCGACGAGTGTGCAAGTAATCCATGTGTCAACAATGGAACCTGCACAGATTTAGTTAATGACTATTTGTGTGCATGTGTTCCTGGAAACGGCGGGAAAAACTGTGCAACTGGTAAGACATGACCAGCTTATAGTCAGCAATGGATGACGATGTTCTAATATCGACTTCATATCAAGCTTTACTCTAAATATGTTAGTGTCGAAGTTGGAGAGAAAGCTTTCTCCATATATGGCATGATCAATTCCATATTTGGATTATGCGGAAAAGCGGCAAACAAAAAGGCCGTCGTTTTATAACGAATTCGACATGAACATTTTTGAAGAAAAAAAGTAAAGGAAAAAAAAAAGACAAGTGAAAAAGAAAAACTCGTGGGTCTGCCTTGCAGACAACAGACACAGGGAAATACGACACTCAATGTTTGATATGACCACATCTTGAAATTATTCATTGCCGACATTGATGAGTGTGCAAGGAATCCTTGTCGGAACCAAGGAACATGTACTGATGAGTTCAATGGCTTTACGTGTACATGTAGACCAGGCTTCACAGGAACGTATTGTACGATCACGTGACAAGAACACGAGCCCGATTGATCAAAACACAAACACGAACACGAGCTAACACGACCAAAACACGAGCCCAACATGAACGTGGAACGCAACACGATCAGATGGGACGGGACGGGACGGGACGGGACGGGACGGACGAATGGATGACGTGTCTTTTTTATTTCCCAGATATTGATGAATGTGCTTCAAATCCTTGTCTGAATGGCGGGATGTGCAAACGGATGAAACCAATGATTACACATGCAAATGTGTATCCCCTTACTATGGGAAGCAGTGCTTGTATCGTGGTAATAATAAAAAATAAATAACAACGTGATTTATACAGCGCTATATCCACTAGTTTGCTCAAACAGCTTTTTTCATACGTAGATAATAAGACTAATTACAACGTAATACTAATATCAAAACACTTGGAATATAATAGTTAAATTGTTGAAAAATAAGATGAAATACCAAAATTTTCATAGAAAGAAAAAATATAACGGAAAAATCGAAACAAGAAACGATCCTAGTTCTATAACAAATACTATGTAAAAAAAATGAGAAATGTACTAAGAGTTATACAACCGTTTTGAAATATAGGTAAGTTTTTAACTCTTTCTTTAAAATATTGATAATAGACCCCTTGCCAAAATGGCGGCCGAAAATTGAAATGCCTTAAATTAAAAAAAGCAATACATGTACTGGAAAGAGCACCTTTACTTTACACCTTTTGCCGTTCATTAACAGAAAATGTACATTCATTTGTGCCAATAGTTGTATCA